CCCCACCCCCCGCCCCCCAGCTGCATTAGTGATGATGTCACAGCATGGACCGGTCTAGCAGCCAAGAAGGACCAAGGATCAAGTGAGTATATCTGCTCTATGTTTGCCCCTAGACCAAAATGAACAGTTAACTGGAGGTAGCCCCACTGCAAGGGCTAACTTTTAGATTGACTAGGGTTCTTCTTTAAAATACCACTTTTAGGTGAACTGACCATTGATCATCTAACTAGGTGTGTTTTTTAATCCCTTTTGCCATCAATTATATCGGGGGTAGGCAACCTTGGCACTCCCACTATGGTGAACTTACATATTCCATCATACCTTTGCCTCTAGGAGTTATGCTTGGAGTGGAAAGAGGAGACAAAGACTTCATGGGGAAATCAAAACAGACCACAAGATTCATTTTTATTTAAACCGGTAGGGTTGCTATTATCCTTCCAGAGACAGTGTTGGATAATCGGAGATTGGTTTTAATCAGAGGAACAGAGCATACAGACCCTGGTGGGTCTCTGCTAAAGGTGAAGTGCATTCCATAAAATTTCTCTGTTGATGGTCACAGGAGACTGCGATTACCTTTCATGCACTTGTGTAAATATATATTTTCTATTTTAACAATGGACTGTTGAAGATTCATGATTATGCAGAATTTAGGAATAAGAGCACTCTTAGGTAGATAGGAATGCTTAGCTCAGTAGATCGGGAAGTGAGCGAAAGCATAACGTCGCTCACTCACTTCTCGATCCTGTCCCTGCAGTGAGTCGTGACTGTCACTCATGGCTCCCTGCAGGGATTCCCCACTCCCCTCTCCGATCCTCCAGCGCTGACAGGAGGAACGAACGGGGGAGGGGGCAGGTACAGCTGGCTCTGCTTCTAATTAGGCAGAGCCAGCTGTGACTCACACAGCTGGGTGGATCTCGACAGTAATGTCGGGATCCGTCCCGGCTGCGGCAGTCTCAGTATACCGCGAGCTGTAGCTTGCGATATACTGAGCTTTGGGTCACGGGAGGATGCTAGTTTATGTCCTCCCTGGACCCTGAGGAGAACTATGGGGAAAAGCACTGACCCCCATAGTTCTCCTTTAATCCTCTTAACTGCATAGGGCCAAACAAGTTGCATACAAATGCCATATACATTTACTATACACAAGTAAATCATTATGTACCAACACCTAAATCAATAATACTGTACGGATTTTTCTGTTTTAGCATTGGTTACTATGCGTTATTGCAGTTTGTATATTGCTGCGCTATTGGAAAAGGAAGTGAAAAATAAGAAAAACCGGACTAACCACAAGCTGCTAAAACTCAGGCTCAGAAGCCTCAAAGGTTAATTGGTCAATAGTATAGCGCTATAAGCCTCGCGGTGTAATTCACAAAAACCAATGTGTGTAAAAAACAATTTTTTTGATTTATTGTTCAATAAGGGTACCGCCCACTTCTTATGCTCCTTTTCAGGTCTTCCTTCTCATGCATTTGTTGATCATGTCCCTCTACAAACATGTCTGCAATCTGAAAAGAAGCTTTGAAATCTTTAAGTCAAATCAGATTTGATTGTTACAATGCTGACAGTAATAGAAACGATTTTTGTCTCGATTGCTATTTTTTTTAAATTAGATTTTTCGTCCCCATTGGTACAAGAGACTAGATCTTTTTTGAAAGATACAGGGGATTTTTGCAGAAGCTGCAGTAATGCCGGAAGGTGACAATGGATATGCTAATAGTGACATGGGAGGTTTACAGCCTTTATACGTCCAATGATCATGAGAGAGTTTCTTAATTGATTAAAACCAGGGGAAAGTATACTGATGAGCAAATATCCTTATTTTAAGAATTGTTCTTCTACATTTTGAGGAATACTTTGTTTCTGTTCCAAGATCAGTTTTTCTTGCAATGAAGGGATATTCCAATGGTTTCCAACATCACCCTGTTGTCTGCAGGTCATTTATAAATGTGTTTAAGATCCAACACATATATTCCAATGGGACATTCATGGAGCACTGTGGGGTCTGGTGGTGTTTACGTCGGATGAAGTCACGCCCCTTGACGTAACGTACGTAGGGTGGAGCATAGGAGCTGAACGATCGCACACAATGTCTGTGGCTGCTTACCAAGTTGTTTTAGCAGAAGCTTATTTTTTACCAATGGAATGTGAGTAGTGTCCTTTTTAATAAAGTGTATTATCCTTTTAAAAACCATCTGCACTACGAGTTTCCACTTTTTATTTGATGCATGGTCCATTTGGACTAATTCACTGCTTTCAACTCCTGCAGCTGGCAATAGGAGTCTGTACCTGAGAGGAGGAAACCACTGGTAGGTGTTTGGCATCAGGTGCTTCCTCTACCTGGTTTTAATCAGAGGAACAGAGCATACAGACCCTGGTGGGTCTCTGCTAAAGGTGAAGTGCATTCCATAAAATGTCTCTGTTGATGGTCACAGGAGACTGCAATTACCTTTCATGCACTTTTGTATATTTTCTATTTTAACAATGGACTGTTGAAGATTCATGATTATGGACATTTTTGTAGCACCAAATTATTTGCACTGAGGTGCATGATATACACATGCATTTTTTCTATTGTTATTCTTTTCACATTGTATCACATTGTTTCACGGCTAGTATCAATTGTATCTGATACTTTGTAGATTAATTCAAACACCACGGCTTTTATTATCAATTCTATATTATATCTGATCACACAGATTTTAGCTGCTGCTTAACTTGATTGGAGTAGTGGCGCGAGGTTTCACATTATTCGTTTTATTGTTGATATGTTTGTGATCTGGCAGGGTGACGTTGCAGCCCTACACACTTTTCATAAAAAATTGAATGCATCCGATCCACCAATTAAGTTTAATATGACTATGGACTTGGTAAAAGTGTCATTTTTGGACACTAGAGTATAGATAGAGGCGGGAAATATGCAGATCGACATAAATACAAAACCAACTGACAAAAATCAATTGCTACGTTTTGACAGTTTTCATCCGTCACTTGTTGTAGGTAGGAGCAAGTTTGTTTTTTTAGAGTAATTACAATAGTGAGTGACAGGACTAAACAGATGACATGGCTAGAGGAGATATCAGACGTGATTTTTTTTCTTAGTAGAAGGACAGAAAAGGCAAAACAGGACAAAACCACACAGAATTCCATTTTCAACATTAATCCCCTAGGTAAAAAGGTTTTTCAGTCATCCAAAACATTGGCATATGGTATCTAAGGCGTATCCTGATGTAGCGGAATTACAATTGAGTCCTTTACAAGCTTTTTGCAAAAACAGCACTTTTAGTGACAGAATAGGGAGATCTGAGTATAAGGACCTGGAACCGGCAAGAACATTCATTGGTACAAAACGATGTGGGCCTTACTCATGTTTGAGCTGTATACAATGCACCTCAATTTTGAAAGGTAGGCAATTTATTCACACAGAAACTTACTCGATAAAAAAATATTTTACTTGTCAGTCAAGTTATGTAATTTATGCCCCAATCTGCCAATGTCAGAAGACATACATGGGAGAAACTACACAGTAAATCAGGGACTGCACTGCACAGCATCGGCATATGATCCATAAAGCACAAGGATTACTAGTTCCCTAACACGTTCTGGAACAGGGTAATGTGGAGACTGACCTGCATTTTATAGTACTGGATGATGTACCTCATAGTAAGAGGAGGTGAAAAGATATGGAATCTGAAGAGAGAGGTGTGGTGGAATGACAAACTATCTACCTTACATCCTGATGGATTAATTAGATACATTGATATGTAGTGTTTTTTTACAGGTTCCTTGTTGGGGTTGGATGATAGTAATATAAGATGATATTGTTATCTTTTCATATAGTTTTAACTATGAGAATGTTGCTACATCTGCATTAGAGGTGTGGTGGAGGTTATTGTGTATTCTGTATGGTTTTGTATATAATTTTTGTATATAATTATTGGACATGCACAGATCTATGCTGTACAGTGTTGTTAATTAACTAGGAGAGGGGCAGTGTTATTATTTATTCAATCTTATCTGATGAGGTGTGGTGTATTTAAACTTTCTGTGGAAAGTTTGGAACTTACCATGAAGACCATTAACATTAGGAAAGGTGGGGACGCCCCGAACTGTCTTCAATTGTACTGATCTATGCACCGATCATTAAATGGAATGAAAGCAAGTTAGCATGTAAGGAGTGTTTCACTTATTGGAGTTGTAAATATACTATGTATGTATGTATGTATGTATGTATATGTATATACATACATACATACATACATATTTATTTATTAAGGGCCCTGGATACTAGGATACTAAACTACTTGTTGTTAGAGTCAATACCTGAAGGAAGCTGGGCTGCAGAAGGGATCTTCTTTCTGAACAGTGTTGCAGAGAAGCTGAGTAGAAGCTGCCATCTAGACATTGTAAGAAGGATTCTGTGACCACAAGCCCAGGTATCTTTCAGGGGAACAGAAGCCAGTCGGTGCATGATTAAGACTGTGGCTGTGCTTACCGGGTCATAGATTTATCTGACTGCCCTTTGTCTATCAGTTTTTATTTTTGGAGGTCATTTTCATAGCCTATTGCTGCTACTATTTCAGAATAACCTGTCCACCATTTTTGTGCTTTTGCATATCTTGCATTGCTAAACCCTCTCTCCTTAGGTTTTGTGTTCAGCAATCAATAGTAAAAACACCCTGGAGACTCGAGCCTGATCATTGCCAGAAGCTGTCAGTGCTGTTGGTTCCAGAAACAAGGCAAGTAACTGCAGATCAGGTGGGAGAACCCAAAAATTACCAGTGGCTCCTGCGGAAGTCACTGCTAGACATGTACACAATGAAAACAGTAACAAAGTTTCTTTTGAACAGAGGGGCTGAAATATGAGCTCTGCTATTCAGATTCCATTACTTTCCTGTCCTCTGTGCAAGAGGATAAGAAAGTCCAAATACTCTTTTTCAGAAACTTTATTAAAACAGTCCTAATCATAAAAACACATATTACCAAAAAGAACCAGGAAAAAAATGAACATGGGTTTATTTGTGTAAATGCAATAGTGACATTTAGAAGTGCCACATATAATGTCACGTGTGTGAAGTCATTATAACACCAGGGCCTATGTAATGTGCCTTCTGTCTCACAGTGTGTTCGGACATAGTGGAGGCGTGAGTAATTCCAAGTATCTAATTCTTCTGCATTTATGGATGGCAGAGCAGGAAATTACAGGACCCCGGGAGGAAAGCCCAGGCAGCACCAGCCACTGGAGAAACTCCACATGGGCTTTGTTGTGAAATAGAACTCTAGGCAGAGATCTATGTCTGGGATTTAAATATGTGTAATTCCAACATTGCCGTACATCTATTGCATGAACACAGGTCATAAGAGCGTTTCATCCCTTCTATTATCACTTCAACCCAGACTGCACATAAATGCAGTGTCATATTCTTATCTTCCAAACATTTCTAAATGTTTACTTTCATCACGGATTTAATTACTATGCTTCCAAATAGATGGTTCAGCTTTGTGTTAATGCTCAGAGCATCAGAACTATAATGGTTCCCATGGAAACTTCATCCTCCAACGACTGTACTCTTGGCCACCTTCCTATAAGGCAAGTCCATTTTCATCATAAGCTAATTTAAATATTACTGGAATATAGGAGCTGCAACAATTTCCTTTATATATCATAGAAGCTTATTGATGCTCCTAGTCATTCAACATGGAGTTTCTTTGAATGCTGCTATGAAGCACCTTTGTGATCCTGTAAAACAGCCAGTCTGAAAATCTATCAGGCCGAAAGCCTATGGCCACCATTCCACACTTGTTTAGATTTGCACTGCCCCCCTTGTGTGATCCTAAACTATAAGCACAAGAGACTTAATTGGGTTTTAGTCCTCCGAGTACTGAAGGTGAGTGGTGGTTGACCATGAGAGGCAGTGTAAAGTTTAGCCAGATCCCAGCTTCCTTCTGTGACCACTGGTGCTTCTTTTGTGCTGTCCTTCCGCTTTTCTGAAGCCCATTTGAATACTCAGTGCCAGCTAGACCTGGCCAGTCCTGGCTGTGTTGAGGAGAGTTGAATTGAATGCCATAGACGTGTGCTTTCTGAGTTATCCGTTGTGTGTGCTTTCTCTGTTGTGAGAGGAAGTATCATCGCACTTTATTCATCATCTACAGAGGTAAACAATAAACAGAACAAAGTCAAGTCAAAGTAATCAATTTATTAAGCTGCATTAATTATTCTACCTGCATTCATTATATTATCTAATAGAAATGTTCTGCTTTAATTCACACACTAAAATATCACATAGATGTGTCCTCACATCCTCCCCCTATGGAGTTTTCTCGTGTATTAATATTTCCTTCTGTGAATGGACAAGGAAAGATCCTGTTGTATACCTGCCCCTCCTCTCCATTTCTCCATTCAAGATCACCTTGAAAAATGAGAACAGAATACAGGGTGTTTTGTGAATGGACGTGTGAAAAGGAAAGGGCAGGTGAACTACATTATCCCTGCAGCTCACAACACTGAAAGAACAGCATCAATGGCAGTTTCCAGCATCAGTGAAGCTAGGATTTGAAGTTTGAAGAGCAGAGATTCACACATAGAATAATCATCATTAGAGGTAACTTGTTTGCTTTGTGGTGTTGGCAAAAACATATTTTTTTCCTGGGGTTCCACTTTCAATTTCTTAATGTGTATCTCTAGCACATTTTCTTGTTATGTGTTCACATAGAGTAGGGAAAAAGGGAATAGTAAGAACCATTGTTATTGCCATTTTTGTTCGCTATCTGTGGCTCGTTGGTAAGATGATAAGATCTCCTTTAACATACTGTTTCAGAGACACACAAGTGGGAAAGTGAGGAGAAATCCTCTCTTAGTTGTCACAGGAATAGGTGTACCGACTAAAATATTTCCCCTCACCTTCTGTTATAGTGACAATGGAAAAAAAATATTTTTATAGTTCTGTAAATAATTATTTATGACATGAAAAAGAATCTGCAATCTACTTACCATCTCCCCAGCCCTCAGAGACACCAGCAATTTCATAATGCTTTTTACGTAATTCTCCCAGCTTTTCTCTCTCCTTCTGCAACTGGCTCTCTAGCTCTAGAACTCGCACCTGATAAACACAAAGAACTGTATTACTTTCCAAATGATCAGTCATGACTCAGACAATAGTATGCTTTTATTTTATAGAGCAGATAGCAGTGTGTAAAGTGTAGTACCCACAGCAACTAATTATTATTCATCATTTATCTAGTCAATGAATAAGAACAATGAATCTGATTGGTTGTACTGGATAGTTGTATACCCATAGGCTTGCCTTTTTTTATCTTAAAGAAAATATATACAGGGTTATTCACAAAAGGGTGAAGAGTTTGGAGAAGGCAGGAGAAGTGAACAATCTAGGCCAAAATAGCCGATTTGGAAAAATTCTCCAATTCGGCTCACTTTCCAGTTCAGCTATGTTGTCCTAGATTGTTCGCTTCTCCTGCCTTCTCCAAACTCTTCACCCTTTTAGTGAATAACCCTCATAGTGTTTTTAGTGATATAGAAATATGTATAATTTCTTTTTTAATGCAGTAAATATGAAACATTTCACATTAATATTTAATATTCCATATTGCTGCCAGTAGGTGGCAGAAACGTAAACAGCTTTTTTTTTTGAAGGTTCAGAAGACACTTCATCTTGGGCCCTGAATAGCAGGGAGATCAGATGACACACACTGCAGACTGAATCTGAATAAAAGGTAACACCCATCCTCCTGCTATCAGTGTTGAGTGAGAGTGATGAGACTTTTTGACACACATACACACAAGGTCCTTCTAAGCATGCAGGCAATGCTACACATTCGTCTGAGGAAGAAACTGCAGGTAATCTTTATTGAATGTTTTTTTTTAAATAAATATTTTTTTGCAGAATAAAAATGATATAAAATATCAGTTGTTTTAATGAAAAAAAGGTAAACTTGGCCAAAACCATTGTAAAAAATGTTTAAATATTGTAATAATATTGTTATGTGAAAGAAACTGTTTCGTAAAGACAATGAGCCTTAACGCTACATGTGGACATTACCTGTGAATCCATCTCTTGCCGTTTAATTTGAGTTAGCGTCAAGGTAGAGAAGTCCATTGTGTCTGTAAAACCAACAGGAAACGAAATTAATATTCTTAGACTATAATATTAGAATTACATGTTGTACATTTAAAGGATTTCTACTGTATTTTCTAATGTCATCCTTCAGTCAGTATAACAGAAGCATGTTACCCATACAGTTCAACCTTTACCCCACATTAGGCACGTGCATGGGACCCAGTGACTGTGTGGAGCCTGGCCTGGGGAACAAATATCCTCCTATACTGAGGCAGTAGTGTAAGGAATATATTTCCTGATCCAAATTACCCAACTTTACCTTTAGCTGCTTATGTACCTAAGTTTCCTGCAGCTGCAACTTACCACAAACGTTACACCCTTCGGCTGGAATCTTCATCATGGCTGTCTGCACCTACACTGTAAACTATTACAGACTTCTATGGGGCTGTCTACCGAGACCGGAGGTACTCAGAAAAGTAAGCAGCTGGGGAACTGTGTGGTGTACAACATGGGGGCCAACCAGTAGATGTACTACGGAAGTACACCTGTATAGTATGTATGTTATTGAACTGTAGTTAGGGAAGGGAAATAAAGCAAAATGATTTGGTTTTATTTTGCAGTCAATCTTTACATGTTTTGTTGTGACCATTGTCAAAAACAAGAGGCCATGGAGGATGCCCAGTTACGTCTGTTCTGCATCTGGGAGCTTGTCTAACCTTACAATACCTAATAGCTAATGTTTACTTAAGGTTTTCTTGACCCAATTTTAAATCAACTGCTGTTGGTGCCTGGAATGGACACAAAAAACAATCTACTCACCTACTTCATCAATCTGGGACTTGACTGATTTTGTGGAAGCCACCACACCAGCAGCGTTGTGATTTACTACTTTTGAAGCTTGCTGTAATCTGGTCAGGTTAGCACTGTCCTTCTCCGCCTTTACCTATAAAGATCAGTGTGTACAACAATTGACAACAATTCTATTATTTGGTCTGTTCCCAAATCCTAGGCACTTTATAATGGAAATATCAACCACAACATCAGTAATAATATTTGACCCTCTTTCTGCACTCTTCTATTTCATAGTGACGCTTCACATTAAGTTTGGTGGCCAACAGGAAGGCATGGCAGATAGACTAAACAACATTCACAAATGTTATGATGACTATGTTAAGAGATCTCTTATTCTACAAAGATTATGACATTGATTGAATGGCTAACATTCAACTTTATACCTTAGATTTCCTCAAATAGAAAGACAAAACACACTGAATATATTTCCTAAGCATGTCAAGGTAAGCTAATAACAATTGTCTTGCGTTACCCAAAGTGCATGTTTTTATCAAGCTGTACCTTGGAAGCTGCTACAAGCTGGGCTGTGCTGGCTGCAATTTCATGGGAACACACAATGAGGTCTTCAAATTTCCCTTGTCCTTGAACAACAAGGTCTGCAGCATCTCTGGAAAACATGCATGACAATAAACAAAGGAACACAAAATACAAACATGAGTCTAGGCTTATCTACATAATTCATTATTAATATCAGGAGTTATAAGAACTATTTTTTTTATCCTCACACCCTGCCATACAGGTCAGTTAACCCATACTGACACACATGTATTTGGACAACTCCAAGTAATGAGGCTAGAAGACCACAGGGGTTGGATGTCTCTGTAGTCCACCTAAAGGCTAAGCAAAAAAGCTACTCTCTCTCCATTTTGACAATATTTAAAGAGATACAAGACCTGGAAATCAAAACTTGTCATTTAAATACTAAAAATTATACAATGCCACAGACCCAGCATAGCCAGGATTGACAAAAAAAAGTAAGGTTGTTTATGCAGGGTGCATACTACTTTACAGAAAGTGTTAGCTTTTCTGTACTTTTTCTGATGTCCCAGAGGAGCAAAGTTATGTATTAAGAACTCTCACATGTCTACTGCTTCAGTTTTGTATGTTAATTGTAGCAGTCCATCAATTCACGTGGGCCAGAAAGATTATTTGTTCTATGACTCCGTTTCATAATGATACGCCTTGAAAGCACCTGGATTTGTTCCATGACCTTAATAATATTTATCATTGGTTTAGGTGCATTTAAAGGAGGGTTGATCACATTAGGTTAGACACATAACCACTATTCCCCACAGGGTGGTGTTAGTAAACGCCCCCCTGCGCCCCATTTCCTATTACAGATAAAAAGGAGAGAAGGTAAGAGGGGCTATGTTAGTACTGAACACTGCAGTATATGATCATTGTACAAGGCATCTATATAGCTGTATGATTAATTTCCCAGGCCATGTTTTGAGAAATTGCACACAGTTGCAGAAATGACAGTTGTTTGTCAGTTAATTAACTATTAGTGCTACCAGTGTATTATCCTATAATTACGTATGGTAAAGACGGAGCTGGTAGTGTGTTAGTAAACGTATTGACAAAGTAGTCAAACTTCCATGGGCGTCTCTACTGGTGTTGTGCAAGTACAGTTACAGTACTATGGTTTCCTGCCTGCCTAAAGCAACAGTCTTTTTCTACAATTCCTTCTACCAATTGACTGGCTAAGCTTTAAATCACGCTGACAAAGTTAGATGGCATAACAACACAAGGCACAGGCTGGAGGCTGAATGGAAGTGTGCCTGCTACCCAATAGAACACCTTAAACTCATGACAGGCAGTTCGGTTCTAGTTGTATGGACCCAGAGTGGGCAAATTGTAAATGCACAGTGCTCTATTCCACCAATAAGATAAACTAACTCTGTAGGCACAGCAACAATGACGGTCAACTGGCAGACAGGGCGATAGCCTGGGAGGCTGTGTGCTGATACAGACCTTAGCCACAGATTATAATGGATATTAAGAAATCGAGCCCTGTTCTGCAGAGTTGACCAAACATGTGACACATAACAATCTGACTATACAATCCACTTTAAATGTATCAAAATGTAGCGTGTTATATGATGAGGTAATATGATGACCTACCATTCAGATGATATTCAATTAGGCACTACAAAGTTGTTAGTAGATCTAAAGGAGATTGTACAATCCAATTGGTATTGAGTGCAGAGGTTGAGCATTAGATCAACTAGAAGCTATACAGTGCTCTAAACTGCCTAACTGGATACAAACTACTGTAATTGGATTGTAAAGGCATGACCTTACATTACATAGTTTTGATGAATGTAAAGGAGATTGTACAATCCGATTGGTATTGAATACAGAGGTTGAGCATTAGATCAACTAGAAGCTATGCAGTGCTATAAACTGCCTAACTGGATACAAACTATTGTAATTGGATTGTAAAGGCATGACCTTACATTACATAGTTTTGATGAATGTAAAGGAGATTGTACAGTTCCCTTACAATGTACATTTACATTGTAATCCTACACAGTCATATTACAACCTGTCTGGCCAGCTTAATACTGATGCCAGGCATATACTGCTATAGATAAAAATGCAGGTAATAGGTGACCAAGGAACCTCTAGGAAATCTGAAACATAACATTATTTTTTTGAAAGCGGCACAGAGCACATCTAGCATAATAATGAGGCATCCGAGGAGCCGTTCACACTTTGATAGGAATGGCAAGCATCTGGACATCCTAAAAAGATGCTATTTATTCAAGTCCATTGGTCACCTGTTGCCTGGCTCCTGACTTTTGTACTGACACTGCCAAGTAACCTTTGTGGTTCTCTGAGAAAGTGGAGTTGCTCAATCTTTCCATTTATTGATGGGTTTGGTGATAACTAAAATATACTTACACCATAACAGTGGCTCCCCACCCCACGGCCTTGGAAGCAGAAATCAGCCCCTCAGTCCACCGTGAGTTTCTGGCATAGAACTCTTTTGGAGATGCTGCTTCCTGCAGAAAAATTAGCACGCAATAAAGACTTTGCAAAATACATGCAGACAAAAAAATCGACTTGAACTGGACTGTTATTTTTTGATGTGGTTGAATATGAAGTCACACAAAGGACAAGGACATACTGACCCTTCCACTCTCCACAATCTCTTTCTGAAGGTCCTTTGAGGCCAGAATCAAAGCATAGATTCCCTGCATGAGATCTGTACATGACCCCAGAATCCTGAAGAACAAAGTCACACATGTTGAGAAGAACTCTTGTTCCACAACATAAGCTTGAGTTTCATTTTATATCTTGGATATGAATTGTTTGAACACATTCTCTTACTGTTCATTGACTTGTAATTTTAGTCCAGTATCATCCGTCCGAGACTTCTTCAGCATTTCCTGAGGGGAAAAAGAACATTTTTTGTGAGATTATTATCCCACCACACAAAGTATCTTCAAAGGACAATCTGTGACATTCTGGCAAACTAAATGTCATTCCTTTTATTGCATGTCTGAATCAGACATGCAATTATTTTTATTTTAACTGATAGATTGTGTGTCTGTGACCTGTTGTGCTTCTTGACCGGCCAATGAACTGATGCTGCATATGCATGAGGTCATCTTGATGTTTGTAAGTATTGTGTTGTGTATTGCCACTCTTAGGACCATGTCTCATTTTCGATCCTGTCATCAGCAACAATTTTACTAATGTGATGTGACCTTTAGCATCTCCTAAGGTCTCAAGTTATTTGGCAGTTTAGGTACTTAAGTCAAGGCACAGAATAGCATCCAGTAGCAAAGTAAAAGTTAATCATTATCTTGGGGTCTGGCTTGGAAACATTAAACAGTTTTAAAATTGACATGCTGCTGTGGCACTATTCAAAAAGAAAAAGTTAACCTGCCAGGGCTTTTATCATCACTGTAAAAGTTCTGTGAGAGGCCCTGATAATCAATGCCAGTCTCCCCTCAATATGGGAGTCTTTGGCCAAACTAAATTCCAGCATCTGAACTGCTCTTCAGTCACTAAAGTGAATCAATAGGCACAAGTGATATCACTGCTGTGCAACTGGAGAAGGTAGGGATGAGTGTGGTACTGACAGGAGGCAGTGTGGGAAGTGAAGAGGAAAAGACTGCAGGTGCATCATTGTTCTCCATCTATTTCCACCTATTGGGTATATATGGGTACATGCATATAGTGCTGGAATAAGGTTCCATTGCTGCCATCAGTTTAAACATTTCCTTTTAATTCCTTTTATCCACTACGATGATGATGAGAATATGCAAAAAAAGCCATGTTTATTAAACCAGGCAATACCTGCTAAACAAAGTTCTCACCTCAATCCTGGTAGCAGCCGTTTCTACAGCTGCTGCAGTGGCTGTCATTTCTTTCTCCACCAGGTCACCCAACTCCTCCTCTTTTATATCAAGAGACGGAGGACGCAGCTCCTAAAAGACAAACATCCAAACATATGTTAAATGATAGATGTCAACCAAATTGTCACTGCACAGGTTATATTATAAGACAACTTCACCACCCCCCAACTTCCACCAATGCAGCCAGGTACATAGCAGAGATGTTTTGAATGTGTTGCACTGGGCAGTAAAGAATTTAGGAGTGAGGATAAGGCAAGTATATAACTATGCTGGCTGCCTGCACAGTGGTACATTGCTGTTTTCATTGCTTCATTGATGTACTGAAGAAGATGAAATGTTTAAGTCCCACGGTCTGTGTGTCATTGGAAGAGGTGTTTATGCACAATAATGTGAAGCTGGGTTGTGTGAAGGACAATGTCAATGACCTTGGGGAAGTCCTAGATAAAAAATTAACATTTCACCCTCTTTGAGGTCCCCTGGCATTGCTGATTAGCACTGAAAATGTAAATTGATCATTTTCCTTGGCACTCAACAAAGCCCTGCAGTATAGCCAAGAGGAATATTTATGGAAATTTAAAAATTAGTGTGAAATATAATTACAACTGGGATCCTAGTACATGGCACAGAAGTTCTAACCAAAGTAGGTCATGTCACTAGAGGTCCTTTTTGTAACGTAATTACACCTGATTACTAATGACTGTGTAAATACTAGAGTTAATCAAACATTCCTGTCCCTGTACGACACGGCCATTGGGAGTAAATGTGATTAAAATGTCTTGTAAAATACTTTAAAGTATAGCTGCTGTTACAGAAAAATACAGCTTTTCTCAAAATAACTGAAATAAGGGATTATGCACCGAACCAAAAGGAACTTTACTACTTACATGTTCCTTTCCAAATGATGACAATAGGTGTGCATAATTGCACAATTTCCCAGAACAAATGTGATTCAACCCCCTGTCTGCTGTAATAACACTATACAGCTGCACCCCCTACATAACTCATATACCTGAAGTTTTTTTTCATTTTAATAACAGCTTAAAATTATCTTTCCAGGGTGTGTTTGAAATGTTTTGCTTACTTTTGCCCCTAAATGGGACTGTCTAACCCTTTATTGTCTAAAGGCACTAAGACTTGTGGCTGATTAACAAAAACTGGGGAAAAATGAAAAAAACACAAAAGTGAAGTTCTTGGTAAAGCACCCAGTCAGAATTCATGTTTATTGTTTCTATAAAGGTCAAACTTCAGTAGTTTCTATTGGCAACAGTTCCACTTTTTTCTCCAATTTTCATGAATCTGCACCACTGAATGTCATATGTACTCTAATTTAGATGCATAAAGTATACGCATACTGGGGCAATAAAATTACATTGAGTTGTCTTTTTTAGGGATGCACCGATATAGCTAAAAAATTGAAAAAATAAAAATAAAAAACATTTTCGGTATCGGTTTCGGCCTGACATTTTCCATTTCGGTGCACCTCTAGTTTTTTTTCTTTTTTAAGTAATTAGTAAAATAAAAGTGCCCAAAGAGGTGAAAGTCAGACATTTAATGTTCTCAACATCACTCCCAGCTACATGTCAGCTAGATGCTGAGATCCATTTTCTGCATCTTTCATTAATACAACTAGGTCCTCAGTATCCAACTATGGCAGCAACCGATCTTTACCTGAGCAATATCAGCTATTAGCTTGAGTGTGGCAGTAATTTGGCTGCAGTCCACTTCATTCTCTGCTTTATTCCGTAGACTGGAGAGATAGTTAAGAGCTTCTGTGCCGCATGTCCGACAGCTGTCACTTAACTCTGAGATAAAAGAAAAACGTGCAGATTAGAACAGCAGAGGTGAAGAAGCTGTAATGGGGATATTACCCAAGAGAACATTTAGCTTTATTCAGTGATAAAACCATAACACATTAAACTGTTCTAACAGACACTTAAAACAATTGAATGCAGAAATCACACTGTTACCGTATAGTTCGAGTCAAATAAAAAAAAATACCAATGAATCCACTTATGTATTTATTTAAGAAAAATATTAAAATTATTTATACCTATAACTAGCATTTCTACCCAAACATAGCCTGATATCCCATTTCTGTAATCCCCTGTACAGCAGCACTGAGACTGCGAGACGGAATCCCAGCACTCTGCTTTAGGGCCTGTTCACATTATAGCTTTGCACTAAACTTACTGTATCTATTCATTTGGTTTATACTATCGCACAGCACACCTACCGTGCAGTATCATGCACCAGGTGTGTTGCGGTGAAAAAAACGAGTGCATTTCTTTTCTTCTTTTTGCGGTTTTGCGCTGCAACACAAAGCCACCGGGAGTGTGCGGTTCCATGTGTGGACACCATGCGTTTAGCACAGCGCTATGGTGTGAACAGGCCCACACATGACCTTATTAATATATTGCTGCTCCTTCGATGTCCAATCAAAGGCCAGGGGAGGGGAGATGACTAAGTAAACAGAACTTCAGCAGCCAATTTTTCTTATAGTCACCCATAAAATAGGTAAGTAATAGTTAATTTCAGGTACAGTAGCCTGTTAAAGTGTACATAAAGAGGTTTATTTATAAAAGTCTCATCCCATTCCCAGTCTTAAAACCCATGTATATTCATGAGGTTCTACTACAATAATACACTTTTAGTACAACTTAGTACAAAGCCTTACTCAGGAAGGATACTTAATACTTATTCGAGCATGCCTAGCTAATGTAGAGATGTGTGTACATGGGTAGAGTGTCAGTGAAAATATTAACAAAAGTCTTTACATCCAGAGCTGTGGTGTCTTTCCACTTTAGTAAGATTACCTTTCTGGCATAGAAGAGTAGAAGAGGTATTAGCTGTTTGAGGTATTTATGCATTATATGGTTTGGTAAGATTGTGAGGAGGTAAAATTCAGGGAGTCATGGTAGGTAAAATCCCAGATGTATTTACTACTTGTTAGCAAGTAGTGTATTTGCTGCTAGTACGGTAATAGTGTAGAGCATGGCCGAAAGACATGACAAACATCTGCTGGTGTTGTGCAGCAGTGATGATATTGGGCAGAGTGACTAATCACCAGTTTATGTGTTTTGTAGAATCTGTTAAAATGTATAATTGGGAACATAGATCTTGTAGGGATCTATTCTCTTCCTTTAGAGAAAAAAAGTTTCCTCCACTTTAATAAAATCCCTTTTAAGGATGGGAAGTCTTTAGACCACTTTGACCAGGTTTGGCAAAGGGGCAGAAATCTGTTGTTAGAGAAAAGGTAAATGCTTGTCACCTATTTAGGAATAGCCAATGTTCGTATTAGCCTTTTTTAAAAGGAGACACTTGTATATACAGAGGTAGCAATTCAAGTTAAGCCTGGCAGTTGGCAAATGTTTGAGCGACAGAAAAATCTTCTAATTTTATCGCACCTATGCACTCAGTAATCTGTTGTCTATTATCTGGCAAATATGCAAGTTGGTGTATTAGTTATAATGCATCACAGAGTCATTATTAAATCTGAAATCTGGGCAAAAATATATTGTCTCATTACAAGAGATGTTCTTGTATGAACCTTGGTGTCCTTTGTATTTCTTCAAGATCTGTTTAGTAATTCAGTAGACCTGGCTGCCATGCTGATCCAATGGCTTCAATACATTCTGATCATCTAAACCTGAACAAGCTGCCAACAAGTGTAAACAGAATTTCTGAAAAGAACACTTGTTTAGTAGGCTACTAGATCAGCATAATAGTCAGGCAACTAAGTATTCTTTGAAGAGAATGCTAAAAATGGCAAATTACGAATTTCCCCCTCAAGATGTTTCTTTGAAATGTGAAAATTTAAAATAAAGAAGCCAGATGGAATGGGAAACTGAGATCTCATCACAGATATGAGTAACATATGCTATCGAAGCCTTGGTAATTACAGAAATTCCTGGTAGGATTCCCAAGAGTTAGAAAAAGCTAGTAAGTGACTAAATTTGCAATTGTCAAAACTTAGATATGAGTTTTTATAGGACTTCAATCTGGAATTGTCCCTTGCAGTACATGATGTCCTAAATTTCTCAGGTTAAATTATACCCAATGTAATTTAACTAGGAAGACTGAGGATATATTGTGAGTGCAGAGCATCATGGATCCATCCCACATGGGAATGTCACCACAATGCCCTTCCTTCACTGTATAATAGTGCAGAAGGCAGCTTTGACATCATCACGGCAGCCTAGAGCAGGGACAAAGAGAAAGAGGACCATCATGTCACTGGCCTAAATGTCAAAAAAGGTAACTATAAAAAAAGCAAAAATACTGCAAGTGGGGACCACAAGGGGGAATTATTTGGAGGGGGGGGGGGATTGGGCTATGAAACAGACAGACAGACAGAAGGAATTCATTAAAAAGCTAATTTCTTTATAAAAAGGCATAATTTCACTGGACACTGGGATAAGAATGAGATACTCACTGTCAGAGGTTCTGGTCTGAGCACCTTGCAGGATCACGTCGCTGATTCTACGTGCAAACTGAACCAGACATGGCAACAAGCAGTTCACATCTAGGAAGAAAAAAACATAAGCAGATAAATCTGTGATTTTCATATACAAACTGTATGAACGTCCTGCAATCCATATCTGTATAAAATATATTTCTTTTCAATCATCCAAGGTTACAAAATAAGTAAATATGGCTGCTTATACGACAGTATCCCTAATTATAGTGTGTAGAGTGTGTATGTTTGTGGGCATAAAAACATTCTGGTAATATTCTTAAAAAGAAGTCAAGGCTGATGAAAAAAAATATATCCCAGAAACACTATATAACATGACTTTTTAAAATGAAATGGAGTTCCTCTTTCCTATTACTTTTTAACCCACATTTCTGCCATGTGAAAGCTGACACATTTTGTACATGAGATCCAGTTAGCCCCGTACATTGAAAGTGCCTGAAAATAGATTGTTAGTGGTGCCAAAATCAACCAATTCGACTCCTCGGGTCTAATTTTCTACAGCCAGTTATATAATAAACCGGTTGTTATAAGAAACAACTACAATTGCTTTTATTTTATAATAACTCAATTAACAATTTAATATTGTTATTACAACTTACACACACACCTAAGTTTTATATTAAGTAACACAAGATATTGTGTGAGATCTAGAATGGAAAGTTACTTGTATGGCCTGTATGAATACATCTACATTTAGATCATTTATTTAACACTGAAACAAACAATTATATATACTCCAATACTTTTGCCAAAGCAAAATGTTATTTCTAGTGGCAACCTAGAAAGGTGAAAGAGACTGAATCATAAAACCCCCTTCTGTACTGCACTCCATTTTGCCTGCCCTGTGGTTTGGTCAGGCCACTCTAACTATTGTGCATTTCCTCCACTTGCCTGCTATACTCTTTACATCTTTTGGTCCTCTCCCATCCTTTCTTCTCACCTGAAGTTTTTTTCCATGCTTCCGCTAGTTTCTCTGTGCTCTCTACAGCTGCCACTGTTCTGGAGATTAAAAAATCTGGAAAAGGAAAGCACAGGGTTTGGGTTTAGAATAGTGATGTCTTAACTGCAGCTGTATGTGCCTGTCACTGTGTACTCACCTGTAGACACGCTGCCACTGTTATAGAGAGGCTCATCCAATTGTTGGAGGGATTCCTGTATGATCGTCTCTGCCTCTTGAAGAATGCGATGTATAACACTGTCTTCAATCTCCTTCACTTGTGCTTGGCTCTCCTGTGCAGAGACTGGAAAGTATTATGCCTTGCACTTTAAAGGTGACCCTAACTTCAGACCTGTGTAGCTAACAGCACAAAGATGTTTAGAGCATTGTTTTCCACATTTTGTAAGCATTAGGAAACCTGTAGCGAAAGTATATGGAGACAGCCATTGCTGATTTCTCCTTAAAATACAAGCAGCCTAGCAAGATGTTGCAATGATGAGGCAAAAACCTGGAAAATGTATACAGATCAGAAGTTCTGATTTCAGTCTAACTTACTAATTTACATGCTTGTTCTAGAAGTGACTCAGAAAGCATTGGATCTAGGAACTGCCAGGCAGCTACTACTGTTACTAGGAGACCAGTGATGTCACCTGCCGCATTTCTCTCTCTATAGGTTTGCATTATGCCACAGTGTGACCTTTGACTTCCTACTAATAACTGGTTGTTGGAGCACTAAAACCATTCATCCAGATAAAAAGACGCTCTTGGAGTGCCAGCTCACCTAAACGGTTTCATTACAATATACTCAAAGTATTAGGATGGTAGAATTATTTTAACTTTATTTGTAATTATCTCCCAAAGTTCATAAACATGCTTAATTCACAAACATATATATTTGATAGGACTGCTGCTACAAAAATTACTTTATGGAGTTAATTGGAGTTAATTCATGTAATGACAGTATACGAATTCACATGTTTTTATCAGTGACGTGGCTACCAGCAGTGTCATTGCTGATTCACTTTTAGAGTATCCAATTAGGGAATAATCTATGACATGAGCCCCATAGAAATAAATGGGGATGTACTGCGGCAGCACAACCAGGAGCTGTCCACTGCAGGATGTCAAAAAACTAAAGTTGCACCCATTATAACTCAGTAAGTATTCATTTGTGCACAGGGCAGGAGCAGTAATGTCCCTTAAAGAATAAGTGTACTTTAAAAAAAAAAAACACCTATCCTTTAAGGGTGGGATTGAGGTTCAGGAGAGCAGTATTTTTAATATGAAGCTAAGATGAAGAACATGGGACATGGCTTCAAACAAGCAGGAGAAAAGTTCAAAACTAACCTTAGAAAGTATTAATTTACTGAAAGAGTAGAAAGAAGAAAAAAACAGAAAAAAAAATCAAAAAAGAAGACTTTATTGACCACTTGGTCTTTTTCTGCTGTCACTCTTCTATGTTTCTTCCCACCCATGTGTGTTTGAGCCCCCTATCTGCATTCTCTGTAGAATTAAACAATTAGGCATTGCAAAAAAAGAGAATGAAAATTCTTCATAGTAGCACAGCAGGTGTGCAGACTCAGGGACTCAAGCATAGAGTGCTCACCAGGCAGAGTCACTAGGAGATATAAGAAACTGTTGGTGGGTTGACCCTCCAGCATCTACCAAACTGAGATATAGATGGTGCTTTCTTCTTTTCTGGTCGGGTGTAAATGGTACACTCTGTCTATAAAAAAAAACCTTGAACGGTTAAAAAATACTCTGGATTGAAGAGAGTTAAATGCCTCTTCCTGCCATCCAGGTTCAAAAGTAAGTCTGCCAATGCCTGCGAGTGCCATCTCCAAACTCTGCCCCAATCTCAGGCTCACAAAGAGCTGTGCCCCATTCCCTGGCATCTTGCTATTGTATTAAAGAGTCTCAGTGGTCAGCAAGGAACCCCCCTTCCCCATGTGGATCCCTTGTTTTAATAATTAGGCAATGCGTAATCATCACATTCATCAGAACTACTTATAAAAAAGAAAGCCAAGCGATGTTCACATTGCATATTGTAAATAGTGATCACAATACCAGTATACCTGTTTGGAGGTTTTCATGCTGCTCTTCAGAAGCTGAATCTCCTGTTTACTGCTCTCTAGTGCCCCCTGTAAGTTATCCATTTGTTGTATCTGCTCCTGTGCCTAGACAGAAAAATATCCTGCATTATTCACAAGACCTTTCCCAAATCATTATTTAAACTATAATCACATAGTTAAATGAAGTGACCTTTCCATCTTTAACAAGAAGATTCCCTGTTTGACACTTTTGCTGAATTAATGTAATATTAACGACTATTTCAGTTACAGGTCTCTGGAATGTTATTAATGTTTTAAAAATGAGGTCTCCTTCACTTCCCTCCAGAGACATGTAATCTGGAAACGTAATATCTTGTATTGCACTTCATTAGGTTTTATTAAGACTAATCTTGCAGGCTCATGGCTGCCTTTTTCACTCGCTCATTTTTCGATCTTTAAGGAGACTACAGCACTGTTACACTCCATAAGAATGTTCCAGTAGTTGTTTACTTTCTGGTCAAAACATTCTTAATTTTACAGAATAAAACCATCTGTCCGACCATTAAAAGTCCAGATCATATAATAATCAAAAAAGGGTATAAGTAGAAAAGCAAATCCAAACTTTGAATTAATGTTGCATCTTCCAAGCAAATTTGTACAAAGTTTCACAGGATGGATTAACGCCCATATATCGCTCAGTATAAAATGCCAGTCTGGAGCATTCATAGGATGTAGAAGAGCAGCACATATCATGGGGGATCAGCCATTGACTGCTATTTTGCCCTAAAAACTGGTAAGTACACCATTAGTTGAACCAAAGGTCATGTACTTTTTATATAAAACTTTCTCATACCAGATGTTTGTAAAACTGAGAATCAATTTGTAATAATTTTACACTGAGATGTATATGTTTTCTAGGTAAAAGTCAGTTAGGGGACTTAAAATGGCAGCATAATTTAAAAACCTATTTCAAGGATGTGGAAATACAGCTTTAGTATGTTCACATTTCAGCACATCTTATTTGTGTACTAAGGTTCATAATGGTGATACGACATTATTAGAGAAGTAGATGTGACTCAGGTAGATGAAGTGCCACCCTCACCTTCCTCTGCGTGTGCTCATTTACACGCTGATATGAATCCTCCAGCTCTTTCTTGGAACATTCCACATCTCCCAGAGCTTCTCGAGCAACCGTCATCTGTTTGGTGACTTCAGCATTCTGACAGAGAAACCACAGCTATCATTAAACTTTCCAAATGATCATCACACCATTTACGTTAATATGTATGCAAATAGTGAAAACAGTACAAATGTTGGCCTACAGCAGTATGCCCGATTAATAAGGCAGTGCAAGGCACAGTAATAATGTACCAAGTATAGTAACATAGAACAGCCAATGAGATTTCAGATTAAGGTAAGTGGAAGATGGATGGTGGTTGATAAAGTTTGACACATTGTGCCCTATGCCTTACTGAACAATAGGGGTCCTTTGACACTTTGCTATTCTGGTGCATTCTGTTAAAGCACATATTAACACGTGTGCTTTAATGTAATGCATGTGTTAACACATGTTGCATCAAGGCAGCCCATGCAAACTAATGGTTTGCCATTGTACCAGAAATGTTTCCAATGCAGCACACCACAATGCAACAGTAGTGCATTGCCATGCTTTTTGGTGTGCTGCAATGCATGTGTGTCGAAGTGGTGTTGCTCTTAGTCAACACCTGTAATGCATTGGGAGGGTTTTAATGCATGTTAGTGCATTTCCCCAAAGCACTGGGAGAAGTGTAAATGGTCCCTAAAATAATACAAATTGCTGGTCACCTATGGAGAATGATTCATTTACAAGTGCAATTCGATGCAGCTTTATTAATTTAAAAAAAAAGCAAACTAAACTTTGGATGCAGCAACCCACACCTTTAATTCCATGGAGAACATTCATTCAAAATGTCATATTTTAAAAAGCATGACAGAACACATTGCAGGTTGTAATTGCTGACATTTTATTGTGAAAAATACTGGATTCCTGACTGTCAAGCTAATCCCATGGCTTTGGTACTTACCAGGGACGTGCGGTCACGGGAGGCAGGTCTCTGCCTCACCTAGAATTATGGTGGAAAAAGCTGTCAGCTTCATGTATGAAGCTGATAGCTTTTTCTCCATTCAGATTGGCATCTAACAGGTTACACAGCAGGGAAATCCTCCCTGCTGTGTAACCTGTCATGGACTGAGCGCCTCAGCAGGCTCCTCCCTGTCTCCTTTACACTAGCTTGGGGATGGGCAGGGAACGTGGCTTTGTCCGGCGGGGGTGGGGCTTTGTCCGGCAGGGGACAAGGTTTTGGCCAGCGGGGGGCGAGGAATGCCTCACCCGGAGCAAGAGGTATTGCACGCCACTGGTACGTAATGAATAACTAACCTTGAACAAGTATTCAGATTAGGAGTTCTGATTTTGCTCTGACTTTCTAATCTGTATGCTTGATTTGGGTCAGTAATGCTGAACATGTTTAACTTGAGATAGATAGATATTTATTGGCCTTCGCATAGTCCTGTTATGTCACTGGAAAGAATCAGTCACCTTTCTGAGAAGCTCTGCATGGCTCTGCACCAGTTCTGCATACTTCTCCTTTAGCTTGGTGTATCGTTGCTCATTAGCTATAGATTTTCCTAAGAGAAAGTAAAAAATTTGGTAGACATTGTGTCTTCAGGACTAGAAATTAGAAGAAACCCAAAGAGTGAAAAAGACAGCAATAAAAACTTGACCTCTAACAATTACTCATGTTATTCAAAACTAGAAAATAAAATCGGTTGTAATTCCACTTAAAGATTTCTCAAGGCAACTGAAGATAGTACAGCAGCTTTTATATATGGGCTGTCACGACGTAGCCTGATTTCTTTTCTTTACGGACTGATTTAATTCTAATGTAACTCTAATTAAAAAGAAGTTGGAATGACAGACGACTTTATGGTTTCCTTCATCTCTTAAATATTTTTATTGATCCTCAGGTTACCAGGTCTGCATAAGTGCTGAGGTCCATTATATAAAAGTCCAACTTTCCCTGTTAGAGTCTAATCTCATTTGTATTATGCAGGAGTAAAAACACCCCAAGGAAAGGAATGGAAAATCCAAGTATCCAATGTGGGTGGACCAGAGCCAGGCACTCTGGCAGGGTGACGCCACAGCTGAAGTCCTTAAGGCATAATACAAGTCAGAAGGTGGTTGAGCCAATATGGGTGGACTGCCCCTTAAATGGATCAGATATTTTGTAATACAGTATACCTATCACTCTGCTTTTAACTAGAAATATGCCAAATAATAAAGAAAGCAGAGCCACACAAAGCATTTATTTACATTTTTTTTGCCAAACAACTAATTTATTGTCTAATTTTACACTTAGGTGTAATTTTGTACTTATGGTCAAATAAAATTTAAATAAAATAGTACCAAGTGAAACCAAAAAAATGACCCTCAAGTCGTCACTCCTTACTCTCTATCTCTGTTAGATTCTTCTGGGCTTTCTCAGTATCTTGTTTTATCCTCTTCAAATCCTCCAGCTCTGTTCGCAGAAACTCATTCTCATCCACTGCCTGTTCCTTCAGGTGCTTCTGCTCCGCTAGCTCCGCCTCTAGCTCTTGGATGCGCCCCTTTAGATGAACAACCAACCGATTACTCTGAAATACATAAACATCATTAAATTCTACCAGAGGAATTTCCTTTGCATCCTCATTGGCAGGACTACATCTGGGTTCAATCTAGGCCTCTAAGATAGGACATTCCCTTTGCCAATTAAAGCTGACAATTAGTGTTGATTGTTTGCTGTCTCCACACTAAGACGACTTGCCTGATGAAGGAACATGGAAGGGCCCATTTACACGTTAGGCCTCTGCAGACATAAGACATGAGATGACAGCTTCACATGATGCCACAGTGAGTTGTTCCATTTTTAAACCAAACCACATACTTTTGAGAACATACGTTCTGCCCGGGAGCTGGGAAGCCCATACAAAGGAGCAAGTAGCAGGTCTACAACTTCTAATGGAAAGAGAGTACTGGTATTCTTTTAAACCATCTTGAACAGTTGGGCAGTGAGAATCAGGTCAATGTCACAACAGCGATCAAGGTGGAACCAGGCTTCCCCAACCATTGGAGGAGACATAGAAGGTCCTCCATAAGCCAAAACCAACCTGCTAATAATAACTGTAGTTAATCTAAGAAACTAGGACAAATAACAGATCAACTAAGCAGGTCCCTGTATGTAACAGTGAATCATCACTCACAGTATTACATTTTTGGGTCACCTGTTTAAAAGTCAGGTGCCTACAGACTAATTTGATGAGGACAAGAGCAAATGCCTTAATTTTAAAAAGCTTTGCTCCACCTACAAGGGCAATGCTCCCACATACCTGAATGCAATGTCAATCATAAAGGGATTTCTGGCTTGCGTAAATATTTCCCCCAAAATTCATGATTCAGAAGGTGATCACCAAGATCAGCAGGATCAGTGGTGGCCATCATCGTATACTGTCCCAAAAGGGTTTGGTTCTCTTAACTCCTCCAGATGTCCAGGGAACGTTTTGAATCCTAACGAAAATGAGACACCTAGTTACTCCAGGGGAAGTCATGTGTCCAGATGTACACAAGTTATCCCTTACAATTTTGTAGACAGACTGGTCCAAATTAAAAGACACTGGTCTTACAGACCTAGTGGTTGAGAACTTGATGCAGTTAAGTTCTTCTACTAAATCCCTCTGGAACACCTTCTCAAGCTAACTCAAACTGGAACACACAAATGGTAAAGGACTCTTCCATTTTAAGCTTACGTTTCCTTCAAAAATTGATTTTAATTACAAAGAGTCACTGAAAACCTTTAAACCTGAACCAGACATGAATGTACACAATGCTTTGACAAATCTAGTAAAGATCTTTGAAAACTTACTTACAAGAAAATAACAAAATAAGATGAAACAAGTGCAAAAACCACTCAAAGTGGTAACCAAAGAATAAAAGCACAAACACGTAATACTGCTGCATGAAAATGCCACAAATAAAAGTTACAGTGCACTGAAGTAGGGCTACAGCAGTCTCTTGTGTGGAAAGAGGTCTTACATCTGAAGATGTATTTCACGTGACCACCTTGTCAAGCACACATTATAAGCTAGGAAATGTAGTAATGGAGAAAGCGTTTGGATGTAAAATTCTGAATATGATAACTTTCCTCCTTTCTGTACCTGATATTTTCCAGATGTAGTGATGCCATGAAGGATGCAAATGATACAAACAATATACATTTACCATAATTCTTTCTTCCTTGGGGGCCTACACTGAAATAAAATTTTGAAGCACCTATGATGTTTTTACTGTTAAGTTATCACAGCGTATTATCAAGGGGTCATGTTCTTATATAGTAAAGGATACAGAAAACTGCCACTTTTAACTATTTAAATGCTGGCAGGATGTATTTATCTAGGTGATGATATCAATCAAATGTGTAGCTGTGGTGTGGCTCTAAGGAAAGAGAACATAGCACTAAGTATTTGCTTTCTGCATCCGATTGCTCTAATCCAACATGTGCATAGGTTATTTAGGGACATGTATAATATTGCCATTCTCTATTTTATTGGCTTTTTAAACTAGGGAAATTTTAATCTCACCTCTCCTTTGAAGTTTCCCAGTTCATCTCTTAAAATGGCAATTTCTTTATATAGTTGCTCTATCAGGCGATCTCTGTGATAAGGAACAAAAGAGAAAGAGAAGACAACAGTCGTTTTGAGGTCATCAACATTTCATTTTGCATTGACAAAGCAAAAACAAATCTGAAACCTTTATCACATCAGATAAATCCAGCAAAGTCTTTAAACTTTTCCCCATGTTAGCATGTTTGTAAATTGAAAATCCTCTTGCCCTTGGGGATGCAATATAATCTCCCATCCAAACAGACCTGGCCACTGAATCTCCACTTGGAATAAACAAAGTCTAAATCCTGCTGGCCCTAAGGAGAAATATATAGTACACAATATATTTAAAGTGTTTGCATTAAAAATACTAAACTACAGGTAGAAGAGTAAAGGTACTGGGAAAGCCAATGTAGATATGATAGATGCGGATGGAAGAACCAGTTTTGGCATGTGAAGGATGGAAGATATCTACTTGAAGGGGTCTTGTCTAGGGCAATGCTATTGAGGCAGCGTATGAGATGAACAGATTGGGTGTGTGTGTTCAGGCCTGACTCTGCCTGGACAGACATGGATCTGTACAAACAAGAGGTCTTGTAAACAAGAGGAAATTTAGTATAGCAGGGATGCTGGGACTCAAAGCACACTAGCCAACAGAGAGCCACACAGTGAGTTGGTCTGGCAGGGCTGTCTGTTAGAGTGACCAGAGAGGTTGGAGACATAGCCATTAAGAGGAATGCAGAGTTTGCTGTATTTTGCTAAATATACACCTGTGTAGAAAACATCTGCAGTGCTAATTTTTTGATAATAAGGGTTTGTTCACACCATGTTGGTTGTGCTTTTCAGCACACTACCACACATGTAGTGAACACGGCACATGTAAAGCAACTTTTTCATGTGCCCTGTTCACGTCATATATGTGCCGTGGTGTGCAGAAAAACGCAGCTCAATGGACATGGTCTGAACAGGCCCTAAAAGTGTATCAGGAAACCATGAAACACCTCTTAGTAAAAGGACTGACTCCACGAAATGTTCTATGTTTAAGTCAGGTTGCCACAATATGTTCACATATCTTACAGAGCCATCTGGAAGCCCCAGAGTATTTTAATATGCAAATTATGACTGGGATCCCCTTCCTCATCATGGATGACCATACCTAATGACAATAAGGCAAAGCAGACAAAATAGGTCAGGTCGAAGCTTAACCACAAGAGCTAAACAAAACTCCCATTATATGGTGACAGGAGTTTTGGGGCTCTTCAGACTCTCTGCAAGGTATGTTAATCTAAGTGTCTTCTTTTCGTATCTGCCTGTAGTTTAGTAGCTTAAAATTGAGGACCACTTTGAACTATTTGAGCACAGTAAGCACAATATTCACATGTTTAATAGTTAGCCATTTATACATTTGTTAAAACGTACTTATCATCCCTGCTCATGCCATTTTGGCTGCTGAAATTGAAAGGGTCATTGCTGAAGGAGCTCCCAAAGATGTCATCGAACTTATTCTCAGGCATACCCTATAATAGACAGGAACACTGCTGTCGTTTATTTTGAATGACAATAAAAATGTTATATAAAAACTATATTACAATAGGTATATGTGATATCAATTATACACTGTATTTATTTCATTTTTAGTTGTATATAATTAGATTTGTAAGGTGTTATATAACAACCATATTCTGCATCATTTTGTAATATGGCATCCAGTAAACATACATATACCAGTAATAATAAACAGCAAAAATGTCAAAGACCCTGCTTATTAAAGACCCTTTCAGTTGTCCTTGCAAGTGCCAGTGGGAGGGGAAGTTAAGTGACCCCTTTTCCTTTGACACGCATGGGCAAGGGAAAGGATCATTTTAAAGGCATAAAATGTCAAAGCTAACAAATAAAAAAGACAACTATATGTATATTTAAAAAGAAATCCATAGTTAGGGATGGTTAAAACATGTGTGTTCAATGCATGACATACTGCACATGTAATCTGGGAAAATAATTTTTATAGCACTGTTCATATGTATGCCTTTTCATCCAGAACATAACATTGTGCAAGTTCATTTTGCAAGTACTGCAAAATTTGCAACAATTTCACAAAATACATGTAAGCTGCACGAAAAAAAAATTCCATGCCTTTAAAAGGAGAACTATGAGGTGCGTGAAAATCACTCATCCTCATAGTTCGAGCCGACGTGTGACAATGAAACTGTCACAGGTTGACTTAATAGATCGGGAAGTGAGCAAACGCATACCGTCGCTCGCTCACTTCTCGATCATCTCCCTGCAGAGAGCCGTGACTGTCAGTCACTATAGCATGGATCTCTACAGCATTGTCCGGATACGTCCCGGCTGTGGCGGTCTCAGTATACCGCGAGCCGTAGCTGATATACTGAGCTTTGGGTCATGGGAGGACGCTAGTATATGTCCTCCCGTGACCCTTAACAGAACTATGGGGAAAAATACTTACTCCATAGTTCTCTTTTAAATGCAGAAAATGCATAATGAATGCATGTAAAAACAGTTGCATTTTAAAACCTGAATGCATTATGCAGCCCTAAACAGCCTACAACAGACCTGCCATGATTGTGAATAAGAAAAGATGGAGTTCAATTGTAAGCAGGAGGAAGCCGTATGAAATTAGTACAAAACATAATTATATGTTAACATCGGCTAAGGTAAAAGGTGACTAAAGAATACGATGGTCTTCCCTGAAGTAATGCATTCTCAGTAAACCTCTAAAGCATTTAATGTTGAAGGACGGTCTGACAGAGCAAGAGACAGCATTCCAAATTAAAAGTTCAACATGGAGAAAATCTTAGATGTGAGAATGAGAGGTACTAAAAAGGGAATGTGAGAAGAGCCAGGGGTAGACATACCATTTGTTCGGACTGTGCAGCTGCACAGCAGCCCTCTGGGGCACATTTATATTAGATGTGGGACAGATGGGTGCTTGGATCACTTCCACCGCCCTGTAGACCTGAACACAGCTCACTTAATTCTTGCTGTCAATTGATACACAGTGAATAAATGTCTTTACTCGGTCAGTAATTGAATAGAGGCCCAAAAATTGGTCTTTGGCAGTGCCCCCTAGGTGTCCACCATAAAGAGGAGTCTAATATCTCAGGATCAGTCATTTGTGAGTATAAAAAATAGAAACATGTTTGACATAGTTTGATGAGGCAGGGTACACTCCTCAAGATATTTGCTGAGCCTAATATTCACCAACTGACTAGAAGTACCTATGGCACATGCTTGCTTTCCAGTGGTGTAGGAGGTTTGGCCATTACTATCTAGACTCTAGATAGTGATGGCCAAACCTCCTACACCACTGGAAAGCAAGCATGTGCCATAGGTCCTTCTAGTCAGTTGGTGAATATTAGGCTCAGCAAATAGATTCTAGAGAGACAACCTTGGGCTGAGAAAGAGACTGAGGCTCAGGGAGTATTTCCAGGAAGTGCAACAAAAAAGCACAACGTAAAACTATTACCACAGAATCCATTATTCTAATGGATGGGAGCAAAAATAAATCATTTTTATTAGCCTTCCTGCTACCAGTTTGGCTATTCAGTGTTTTTCTTTGTACTGGTTTACATTATTTTTAGCACAGTTGCAATGTTATAGGATAGGCCTACACATTTACATATTTTTTTCTCATGTAACACCCATTCTGATCATCTACAACTTCTCCTCTATATAAGTATTCTAAATCCACCTCCGCCTTCATGCACAAAGTGCTGTATATCAAGCCATCCAACTGTGATCTAAGAGAGAATTCCCAAAGCTGCCTTCTAAATATGTGATGAAGGCAAAGAACAATTACATTGCTCTCAGTTTTGCTGGTACTACATTGTGTTAACAACACAATATCCAGTAAAATCTGTCATGACCTACCTGAGAAGAAGAATCCATTCCAACAAGATCATCTGTCTCCACTAACGTCTCACTGTCAGGAGGGGAATTTCCTGTAGGTATAAGAACCACCGGGCTGATGTGTTCAGACAAGGCTGAGGCCCTCAAGAAATTAGGTGGATTCTAAGAATTAAACAGTTTTGTTAAAAAATCCTTTATTTGCTTTTATGCTTCCATCAGATATAACCACACATATCATGAAGTAAGATAAAATACTAATTTTATAACAGTCAATAGCCCAGTTTATTAAAATTTAATTAATGCCACACATCCAATGATAATCAAAGTGTAGTAACACAACCAATCAGAAACTTTCAAACTGGTTGTTATAAGTTATCACACCTTGCACATGCTCTGTTCCCTTTCTGCTGCTTTACTGAATAAGCCTACAGTCTCTTCCAGTCTGTTGTATAAAACATATATAATGATAAATCTAAATCAATCTAATATGCAATTTAACAGACATATTATCCCAGGAGCTTGTAGTACTGATGACAGTTCAGCATAATCATGCCTAGCAATTCTAAAATCAATAGACACAATGTCAGTTTTTATGATAAAACTTTCTTAAAGGAGAACTATCGGGTTAAGGCTTTTCCCCATAGTTCTCCTTAGGGTAACGGGAGGACACAAACTAGTGTCCTCCCGTCACCCTAGGCTCAGTATACCGCGAGCTGTAGCTCGCGGTATACTGAGACGCCGCAGCTGAAGCGGATCCCGACAATTGTGCCGGGATCCGCCCAGCTGTGTGACTGACAGCTGGCTCTGCCTATCTAGGGCAGAGCCAGCTGTACCCGCCCCCTCCCCTGTCCATTGCGCCAGTCAGCGCTGGCGGAGCGGGGAATCCAGCCCCTCCCCTGTCACGGCAGAGAGCCATGACAGGATCGAGAGGTGAGCGAACACTGGTATGTGTTCGCTCACCTCCCGATCTACTGAGCCGACCTGTGACAGTCTCATTGTCACAGGTCGGCTAGAACTATGAGGTGAGTGAAAAGCACTCATGTCATAGTTCTCCTTTAAGCATTCCACAGTTCAAAGTGATCCCAACTTGGGGCCGGAAATAAGTCTATGGGCAGGGGCAAAAAAACTGTCTGAGGATGTCTGCATCGGATTGCACACAGTACCCCTCTCCCCCATTCTGACTGCTGCTTAAAGGGTTCATTGCCCCTCACAAGCAGTGGTTTCACGGTGTGCTTCTGCACTTGTTAGTTTTGCTAAATGCAAAAGTATCTCAACAGAACCATGTCCTCTTAAAGCATATGTTAACCAAAATAAAAATATATATATATTTACTACAGTACATCTCTTGAATACATGCATTTTCCCCGTTTATATCCCTTTAAACACACTGCAAGTACAAAAAAATAACTGTTTATGTGCCAGAAATATAGTGTGCTCATATGCTTCACTTTGACATGGCAACACAGTTTTGTATTCCTAAGGACGTGGTGTTAGCCCTGCCTACTGCATTTCTGATGGATTACAAAGCACATAGACCTCTCCTGTCAGAAACCACCTGCTACTGCGCATGCGCGGGCCCAGTTTTCCATACTGCAGGTAAACATGCACTTGCACGCATATGTGCGCCACGGAACAGCCACGCAAAAGGAAGTGATGCTATTTCCTGATGAATCAGCCTATTTAAAGCCAGCCTACCTCACTCCAAGTTACTGGATTGTCTTCAGCTTCCCGTGTGTTCCTTGTGCTTCTGATTACCTAGCTGAATTTTGACCCGGATTGTCCTTGACCTTGTTGATTGCTGCCTGCCCCTGACCTCCTGCTTACCTTCTGGACCTGCCACTGTCTCCTGCCTTTGTACCTCGCTGCCCGACTGGATTTGATCCCTGGCTTGTTTGACCACGATCTTGGATCCTGCTCTGCACTCCGCTGCCTGCTTGGTTTTGACTACAGCTCAGCCTGACCCGATCCGGTGCCAGAACTCCAGCTTGCACGGTGTTATCACCTCTGGCACCTGTGCCACTCGCTGTCCACTCTGACTTTGTTCTTAACTCCAGAGTCTTTGGGACACGAGGTGCAAGGGAAGCCCCCTCCCACATTCAGCCTCCACCCAGGTACGTGACATCTCCTCATCCCCCCTCATCATCTCCATAACTCCTTCTTGTGCACAGGCAGAGAGTACAGGAAATTATCAGCTCACCAATTTTCTGGCAAAATCACCAGGTATTTCTTGCACTTATAGAAAAAATATAGTCAAACATCTGCAACGGTACATTTAGCAAACTAAAATGGAGCAAATAAGAGAAGTTCATTGTTAGGGTCTACATATACTTTAAGCTCTCTATTACAGCTGGATATTGGGGTAAACCTACTGGCAACTGTTCTAAGATGATGACACAGAACAATCTTTTATATATTTAGTGACACAACACATGTGAAAGAATCCAAAATTTGCCCAGTCTCACTGCGTCATTTCAATTATTTATTTCTACTTATCATTACATAAACCTTTAAACCTATTCAGTGTATCTATACCAATTATTTGGTCTGCAGTTATGCATCTATTCTTTTACTCAATATTCATTAAATACCCAAATATTCTTAATTTGCTTTATGATTTCAGCTATCTCCTGTTCACAATAAACAGGCATAATTTATTTTTAGCTCAACACTGGTTAACATGACACGACTTCATAAAATAGGGAAAGAAAAATGTGCACACGAGAATAACTCACAATAACCAATCAGAAACCATGCTTCTTTGACTTCCATATACTTGTATTGTAATCAGATTGGTTGCCAAGGATTACTGCTTATTGCTGCTTCTTGTCTGGTGGTATTTAAAGTTTATAGGAAAGAACAGATCTTTCACATAAACAGAAAGCTTACCTCTGGAAGCTGAGGAATCTGTAACAGACGTTTGAAATACTGTAGGTTACTTGAACGGTAGAACAAATCTTTCAGCCTGCATAGAGAAAATCAACATATATTATTAACACTAACACCATTTTAGCCCATCCAATTGTATTTGTATACACAAAACAATAATAACTGTTGAATATGTTACATCTGCAGTTTTCTTGTTTTGTAGGAATACACTTACTTCTGAAATTGTTCCATAAAGCGATCTCGATGTCCCTGTAATGTGTCTGTGGGGAGGCCTAAAATACACAAAAAAGTTTTCTTATACCACAGAGCTTCACAGGAAAAATGTTTAAAGCGAACTTGTGTTTTGTGCATTTATGCATATAAATCTTTATTAAATTTTCCATAACCAATAATGGCACAATGTACATATAAGAAATAACATCTGCACACATGGTATATAGCAACAAGGAGATGTCATCTGTAGGTATTACATTGACCATTGACAATACATAACCAAGAATGACATTATCTCCTGTAATCATTCACTGGAAAAAAAAAAAAAACACGTCATGTAATGCATTGATAATTCCCGAAGGAAATATGAACCAAAATTCGAAAGAGGAAGAAGGATATATGCGAAAAATAAGAAAAGATAGGTGCCAGGGGAGGTATGAAAGAAGGAGAAAGAAAATAAAAAGGGGGTGTGATCATAGGTATACCCTATGGGGGTATGGATTGCCGGATTCGATGAGATTCTAAAGGGACAGAAAACATTTTTTTATGAAAGATAAATTACATAGTCTGGAATGTCAAAGGTCAGATGTATGTAACTATTACGAATGTATACTTCAGGGGTGGTCAATCACTGCTGAAGGTGCACTATATGTGTTCCGCGGTACCTGCTGATGAGAAGTCAGGTCTCATAATACATCAAGAGGTCCAAGGGAGCCATTTAACTTGGCCATGAGATACCAGTGGGTGTATTGGAAAGAAAGGTGTATTGGTTTTTTTTCTCTATTCTGACATGCTCGTGTCAGAATAAAGGAAAAAAAAGACACAGCGGGGTTTCTCTTCTTGGCGGCCGGGAGCGGGAGACTCCCGGGGCGCCAGGGAGATTTAGATGTTTGGAGGAGTAAGGATCAATATGAAATAGTGTTGTGCATGGAGTTCATGTGATTCACTCCCCCTCCTCCCCCATGACTGGTTCTTGGTTATTGGCCACTTTGGCACTCATAACTGTCATATAGGAGCATATGCAGCAGGGAGTACAGCCATTAAAGAAGACTTGTTACCCAAACTGATTACTCAAATCCTTCTATGCTTGCTCAGAATTTACCAGAAACCCATTAAGGAGATATGCCCCTGAGCAGGGCAGCCATCAGGGGGGTACGGCCGATACTCATGTAAGGGGCCCAGGCAGCCTGGGGGGCCCGCCTGGGTCCCTTACATGACTTGGGTGGGGGGGCGGGGGGCCCGGCCCCTGAGGTCTCACTTTTACTAATGAGCAGTAGTGACAAGCAGTCCATGGTGGATTCCATATGTATTCCTATGGAAAAACCAGCCGGGCGTAGAAAACATGTTGAGGGGTAAAAGGGGCTTCTATGATCTCAAGAAGGGATCTCTGAGACAGGGTCCTGGGGGATTGTATGTGTAATTAATGCAGTCAAAGGCCAACCACAACTTAATTTTACCCTTCAAAAAGTAGAAAGAAGCCTTTCAACAAACCACCAGGGATTCAGTGCTTGCCCCATTCCTGTGAACTAATGCCTTCTACAGTACAATCTAGAGATTGGAAGCATCTTTGTGTGTGGCCTAGCTATGTCTCTAAACCATTTAACATCTGTGAACTAGAGAAGTGATGATTGTAATGGCCAAATTATAGCCTTATCCAATAAATGAAGTGAAAGGATAACCACAGTTGGTTTTAACAGTAATAGTGTGAGGCACAATGATAAATACAGCAAGGCCCTATACAAAAATGGGCTAAAGATGTTTTTTGTAAAGCAACAGAATAAAAGAAAACCCTTCCATGCTCCTGGTTGCTTTGCCCTGATGTCCCCTTTCAATAGATTAACTCATGAGACAAGCTATTGATCATGGTGAGATATGACTGACACTTACAGGAAAAATCTCACCTGCTACAGAAACTGAATTGACAAATTTTATCATTGAGGTTTTCCTGTCAGCCTTCCTCGAAATCAATACAGCTGCTGATATCATACAAACTTGGCTGAGTTACAAAGTGAGGAGGAGGTCAATGAAGACCATTTCTTTGATGTACAGTACTGTATATTCTGTTATATGGAGCTTTTATTTAAAGGGACAGTCCATCCAGTGAAGATATTGAGATTCTGAGTGGGTGGTAAAAGACTAGAGTCATTCACAAACTTTTAGAGACTGCATTGTGGGGATCAGTGTGTGGATTTATGGGTTGTTTCTAGGTCTTCCTAAATTCCACCACCATTATACATAAGTGTGTCTCACTCTGCTGGTTCCAATCTGCAGAGAGCATAGGAAAGTTGAATCTCCACAGCAAGATACAAACCAGAACTTCTAATGGGAGGTCTTGCTGCTGCATTTCCTAATATAAGGGTGAAGTTTAATGAGTACACCAGTTGCATGTAAGAATGTTGTGACTGATCATTCACATCAGAAACCTATGCAATTCCTTATAAAGATGCATAAAATTAGGATGCATAGATTATGACACTATGCAACACTAGGCTCTTTCTGCCTGATCATCAAATTATTCTTAATAATATGGGCATATCTGTGAAAAAAATAATTGAATCTGTCTTCACATGTTCCATCGCTTGATGAAGAAGAAACTTCATCTAAGTACCTTGGGCTTACCACATGTTCTGCTCAGTGAAATCGGTGGAACTGCTGTAAGCTCGACAGCCAGGTCCAGGTCTGTAGCTTAGAAGTGCTGATAGCAGTTCCTATATGAATGAAGTCTGCAAATATTGCCTGCAGGCTGTATTCAAAAATACACTGCAACAATATAAGGGTCACAATCTATTTTGGTTAGTTCTTCGATGTGCAGAACAAAGAAGTATCCTTTAAACTGCATATTGTGTCAGTTCTAGCAACATAACACATGAAAAAAGAAAGAAAAAGCTTTTTTTTTTTTTTTAAATAAATATTGGTTCTATTAAACCCTTTTTAGCGACTAATATCCTTAATCAGCCCTAATTAACTTCTTCTGCTTTACAGATTTTTTATATATTTTTTAACATTAATATTTAATGTTAAATTGTTTTCAACTCTGTTCATTTTGTTTGTTCATTATTGCAGCTTTACAAACTATACACATTTTTTTTAAAAAAAAGCCTTTTTCCATTTGTAAATAACCTGCTATGGTTTGTATCAGAAATGTGATTTTAGTGTCATTATAAGCAGAGCAAAAAAAAAAAAAAATCACCTTTCATCTATACTTAGACTAGTTGTGTTAAATCTAACACACTAAAAGAAAGTTTTTGTATTTAGAATACATAAAAAATAAAAAGAATATGCAACATAACATAGCCAAAAGAAAGCTTTGTTTGTCTAATAAATGTTATATGTTTCTTCGGTATGAGAAATAATAAATACGTCATAGCTGAAATGTAAAACTGCTCTGGTTCATAAGGGGTATGCAGGTGCAAGAGCTGATGGGTTCAATATATAGACACTAGGTGGTGCTGCAATGTTGGAATTTGTAGGCAGCAAATTAGGGACAGGGAACTAGTTTCCATTTCATATTTCAGTCTATTTCTAAAAGCTTGTCATTTCTATTCATTAGTTTTTGCATTTTATGGTCCACATATTACAACTAATTTTCTCTATTACAGCTCTTTAAATTAATGTTGGAAAAACAGTTTGCAATAAAATAATTAATTCCCAACTGTTGCACACACACAACCTACTAATAAAAGTCTCCCCTACTCCCCTGCAAAAGAATCCCTGTCTGCTTTTTTAATTGCTGTCTTTGTCCCCCATTACTAAGATTAACCCTCTAGCTGTTCTGATCACGAATGTCACGGGAATACACATGAATCCAAAATTTTTAGTTGCACCAGTACAGCAATAGAGGGCATATTTTCCAATGGGGGCACTTGCTCTCATGACAACAGTCAAGAGGGAATTACCATCTTATTATAAAAATATTTTCTCACTTCCTGTTGACTCTACAGGACAGGAAGTGGAGGAAAATTCCCATAAAAATAGAACTGGTAGGCTTTAGATATACTTTAAATTTGTCAAATGAAATATGGATGTTTTTCTCAACTTTTAAAAGTATACTTTTAGTTTATCTAGAGCCCAAACTCATTATTTTGCTAGCTAACACATGTTTCAGCTTGAATAAGAGCAGTGTATACAGTGATTTGATGGGTTTTCAGCAAGCTTTGTTGAAGCCTTTAAAGTATATTACACCTCCAGCTTGGGATTGTTAAAGTGACACTAAACTCAGGAGTTAAATCATAGAAATGCATTCAAGTATCTTAACTATTAACAAACATTTATCTTTACTATTACTATTATAAAATGTATCTTTTTTGTGTATCATTCAGCTGTAGATCCTCAAATCATTTTTAAATTGGTGCTGACACTGTCCTTCCTTCTGGAGGGTGGATACTTATGTTCCCCATGGTCCCTGTGTGTGTTGTAAAATAGCCGCCGCTCCAAGCTCACTCCTGTGATGGACCACAGTCTCACATTTAGTTTACTAGTTTGTAGTCTATCACGGGAGCAAGTTTGGAACGGAGGCTAATCAACATCACACAGAGGCGTCCCGAGGCGCAACGACACCCGATGCGGTTACTGGGTGACACACCGCAGTGATGTCATCGCGTACGCGCATGATGTCACGCGCGGTACCGCTGTTACCTGCTGGCGGCCATCACGGTGATGGACGCTGGCAGGGAGAGGAGGGGACTTCACCCGGCGGGATAAGGTATGCCGCCGGGTCCCCTTCTGTCAGTCATTTGGGGTCACCCCTTCAATGGTGACACCGCACGCCGCACCCCCCTTGTGATGCCACTGACATCACACACAGCGACCATGGGGAACAAAAGTAGCAACCCCCTAGAAGGATGGACAGTTTCAGCACCAATTCAGAGATGATTTGAGGATGTACAGCCGAGTGATACACAAATAAGATACATTTTTGTTAATAGTTAAGGTACATGAATGTATTTTTTAAATGTAACTCCTGAGTTGAGTGTCACTTTAAATACAGATTTTAATAGGAGTGCTGACTGTCATGTTAAACAATCTGCTAGCAGACTTCAGTAAGCTTTAACACTGCACCAATCTTGTTGAAAGCCATGTTCTAATGGTGACACTTGTTCTGCTGACAACTGTCTAAAAGGGGAAGCTTTCTTTCTTTGTAGAGATTTCCTCTCACTTTCTGTTGCATTTATAGGACAGGAAGTGAAGGGAAATCTCGCCAATGGGACACAGACAGCACAAAATAAAATGACAGGGGTTTTAAATCGGGGGAAATGGCTATAAATGCACGTTTATCCAGTTCTCCACATATAAAAACCTAGGATTATTGTGCATTAATTAGGAAAGGTGGCGAACCTGATTTACTTCCTAGAACCTATCTGACTTTTTTGTGTTGGTAGTGTAGATCTGTTTTAAAAGGAAAGAGTGCAGCTATTCCCAATACCTTTCAATAAATGCTAATTTCCTACCTTCAATACATCTTTACTGACCCAGAACATGAATGCAGGTCAGGAGATTTGACTTCACCAGTTGCAAGTGACACAGTGAAGCCAAAGGATCAATAAGGCAGCTGGGGCATTTTCAGAAGCGGACCATCAACGTCAGAACAGATATTATTCTCATTATAGACTCCAATAAATCTTTAATAGTGTTCCTTCTCTTCAAAATACTTACATGAGTGCAGTTTGAAAAGTAATTTCACAGTGTAGTCATACAGATGACTGCAGTCTAAGATGACCTGTATGAGCGGAGAGAGGCGGCACTGGCCAGCTGCAGTGACAGACACTGAACGCGACATGTCCAAAGATTTAAAAACTGTAATGATATAGGAAAAAAGTCATTCGATTTTGTTACACGCATTATGCTTAGCTACATATTTCCATGAGCCTCTGCTAAAACCAGGGGTTGCATTTTGAAATGAGAGAGAACCAATGTTTTACTATAGTGTTCCTCAATTAGGGTATACCTCCGACTTACTGACATTCATGGCACTGTAAATACAGACAGTGTAATTATCGCCTCTGATAAATACTAGTAAATATTACCTACAGTACATTGTCTCAATACGCCCATACAGTTTCCCGAAGTATCCTTTGTTTTAATAGGAAACATTAAAATGATTTACGTCATTCCCCTTGCTAGCCCACCTATCAGTGGAAGTGCATAAAATACGTTGTAAGCTCTTTATTAATTCCTTTCTTCTTTCACAGATTCCTAGCAATGCCCAGATAGCAGCTGTAAAGCTGTGTGTAAAAATTGACTGAACCTCCTTTCCGTTTGTTATTCCACCTCTCCCCATTCGTTGGAATTATTATTTTTTTCTATTAGCTGAGGTCAACCAAAAAAAATTAAAATGCCAGCCAATCAAGAACAGAATGATTAGACAGAATACACACAGACAGACTTTTGAAGGTTGTGGGGTTGATTTACTAAAGGCAAATAGACTGTTCCCTTTGCAATGGAATTTTCCATTAACTGAATGAGATGAATCTCTGTTGAAATCCATCATCCAATTATGTGCAAGCAAAAATACTGTTTTTCTTATTTTTCTTGCATGTGATTGGGTATAATTTACAAAATGAATTTTTACCACTCTCATCTCATCTCACTCGGTGAGTGACTCTCATAATCTGTCTCGATTCTTCTGCTTAGCATTACTTACTGCTGTGCGACAGAACTGATACATGTCTACCAATGTACACATTCAGACATTGGTTATATTCTATTGCATGTGTAGACAACCTTGGTATTCCACCTGTTGTGGAACTGCAAATCTCATCATGTCAAGCATGTGTCTGTCAGGGTCTTCCAATGCCTAATGGGACTGGTAGTTCCACAACATCTGGAGTGCCGAGGTTGCCTACCCCTCTTTTATTGCAATAGGTTCCTAATAAAATGTTCTGATAACTTTATTGTAAATGTAAAGTAAAGGTTATGTAAGGGTCGTGGTGGCAAGATATACTCTATTCAGTTTATTCTATGAGGAAGGTACTGCATTTTGGAAGTGATATGTTTAAAGCATATTCTGGACCTAAGCAGATAACATTTTATTAAGGCAGCAACAGAAGGCTAGATTGGGGCACAGTGATGATTTGTCAGTGAAACTGCAATTTAGCATTTCAAAACATCACTATTAGGGTAACCAATGTCTCCCATATACACTAAAAAGGTAACCAAGTTCTCCCATATATACTAAAAGGGTAACCAAGTTCTCCCATATTCACTATAAGAGTAACCAAGTTCTCCCATATTCACTATAAGGGTAACCAAGTTCTCCCATATTCACTATAAGGGTAACCAATGTCCCCCATATTCTCTATAGGGGTAACCAATGTCTCCCATATACGCTATAAGGGTAACCAAGTTCTCCCATATACACGATAAGGGTAAGCAAGTTCTCTCATATTCACTATAAGGGTAACCGATTTCTCCCATATTCACTATAAGGGTAACCAACTTCTCATTATAAAACAGTCAGAATGTTATATTTAGTTACAGTTGGAGCCTGGTGGTCTAAATAAGCAGGATTTAGATTATCTAATAATAAGTGTGCAAACTTAGGAACCCAATTGTAGAGAGCTCATCAACATTGTCCTCAAAATAGCAAATGCATAAATAAGTTCCTACTAGTTAAACATCCGTGGACCCTATTGGAGTCTGACATCAAAAATAGAATAAACAGCATAAATACCCAAAATACCTTTAATTAGGTTACAAATCCCAAAACCACAAACACACAGAAAAGCAAAAAAAAATTGAAAAAAGATAAAACAATCAAACAGATATGATATGCAAAATAGGGGGGGAAAAACTCACATACATGATAACATTTTATTATGTAGTATGTGAGTATGTGAGTGAGTTTTTTTGTTATTATAGGGTCCACAGATGTTTAACTTTGTCTAACTAGTGCTAATTAATTCATTAAACAATGTAGACCTGCCAGACATTTTAATATGGAAATTGAAAGTTTTACGTTAGGTTAGTAAGAGGTTATTTTGATATAGTATCTGATCAGATCCACCTAATAGTTCCCCCACTTTTTGGATATAGTCCTCAAGAGATATAAAAAAGGTCAAGTGGTTTAACTCTTCAGTATTTACTAAGCATTGAAATATCAGTTTAAAGTGTGCTCAACCTGCTTGAGCCACCCTGCTTTGGCCATAATCGGGTCGAAATGACAAATACATTGCATCTTCCAATGTAAAACAGTTAAAAAACAGTTAAAAAACAGTTAAAAAACAGTCCTGCCCTTGGTCATTGCAAACAAAGTGTCATACTATCCTGCTCTTAGCTAGTATCTGGCATATGGTGCAGGGAGGTGTGATATTACATGTAACTATTCACCTTATGAAAATGATGCTGGGCTATTATGTAACAATACACAGGCAAGGTGCAACTTCCTTTCTCACTGCTGCAGAATCATTTCTATGTCACAATACAATATTGTAGGTCAGAGGAAGGAAAGGGCATGTCTTGACATTAGTAATATAGTGAGTGCAAGTTCCCTATTCTAACAGCTGCTGTCAGGACACTTGGAGAAACACTCACTGGAAAACAAGATGTTATTCTCAGCCTCTAAAATACAGTTATGTTAGCCAAACTTTCTGAATCCTTAGTCAACCTCCATTGCTAAGCATCCGCTAATAATTTCAGCCTGTTAACAGTGCTAAGTATCTACCAAATGTAATTGGGTCTGCAGGTCAGAGCCAAGTGGTCCTTCCACTAATTGAGTATAAATAGCTAAACAGAAAAGAGGATCTCTGCTCTAAATAAAAAACTTACAGTCGAGTCTTTATATAAAACTATCAATAAGCTCTATGGCTCCCAGAACCCTGACAGATTAAGCTTCTGTGCCATCCTGCCAATGTGTAAGGGAAGACTGGATTCTGTGCAATTTGGCAGCGCCAGTATGCCTGTTAGTGACACATCTGCGAATATCTGATGTCATTTCAGCTGCCAGGGCTTTAAGAGAAGCAGGTGGTTATTGCAGTGTTATTAATGTATTATGTGTTACAATTGGGAAATTCTAAAGTGGCAAATGACTGACTAAATATATTACCAGGTTCGTAATGCATATTTGCTGGTCACATTCGTCCATGTTTTGACCAGTCAAGACATATTCCACAACACTAGCACATTCTCATATTTTCTGTAAAGACATGAAGGCTGCCATTGATGATTTTCCTTCTAAAAATGCTAGTTTACTGGCTGTCTATGGTTTAAATACCACAGATTAATAATCTGGTAGAAGTTTGCAAAGTCAAACCTCCTACATTGCATACTGTTCTGCGTCAGCAATTGGGAAGTAATGAAGCTAGTGCATGTAAGTAAATATAACATATAAGCCAAACAGGTAGCATTTTTAGAAGGAGAGCTCAGCAATGGCAGGCCACATGTTGCCTCAGCAAAGGTTTCCTTTGAATGATGAATCCAGGTCTCTGTAACAAGTGCCATATTCTTAACATTGCAAATGTTACATTTGCCAACAATAGCCATACTTTAACAGCAGTCACTTTCATCAAGGCAAATCAATTACTTTTTTAGCAAGTCTACATTGGCTGATCATCCGCCGTTCTGTAGATGAAAATTTAGTAATGAGTCTTCATTTGATTTTGCCTGGTTTCATACTGTGCCCTGTCTCCAGAAAACTGTATAAATCCTGTGTGTAATGACAGTGAAAGTGGGTGCTGAAAGTCGCCTGACTCTTATAAATAATACTTGTTGCTTACTTAGATTTATAGCTCTTACAGCTCAATGTTTGCCAAAAGGGGTGCAGGGGAAACTGTATTTTAGAAAGTAGTAGGAATATGGATCTGTTATATTGTTGTATTAATATTAATACACAATACAGGAGATTGATGAGGAGACTCAGAGTCAAAGTTGTACCTGTACTGCTTTTATACTGGCCATAGAGGGCTTGAATTTTGGCAAATTCCTGCTGCATTGGATGAATATCGAACCATGGATGGCTCTACATGCACCACCCGGCTTCACAAAAGTCAACAGAGCCAGGTGGAAAAGTATCAGCTGAACTGTCAGATGCAGTCACTGTTCAACAGCGCCACTGTATTTAGGCAGCCACGGGTGACCAGCTGCTCATTATAATAGCTGGCAGTGGAGATTCCTCCAACCATGCTGTTTAACAAATTATGGGCGGGCTGAACGAGAGAAAACAAGCTTGTACCTTGTTCCAAACTGCATATCCAAATACAAGCCTAAATACAGCCTAAATTTTTGGGCGGATGTGATTGCCTTGGTACTTTCTACTACATTTGGTGATCATGCTCCATAGTGCAAACTGGGTGGTTCAGCAACAATCAGATGATATCTACAACATTTGTTACTGGAGGACCACTGGGAAACCCCATTTAGCAAAACAGAACATGTCACCCACCCTCAATGTAAACAACAACAAAAAACATTGCTAAGGCTTGGCAATCCCCAACTCTTAGTTCCCAACAGATTATTTCTAGGCTCTCCTAAATGACAAAGTAACTGCCAAACCGAAAGACACTATGGCCAAATTAGAAAGAATATGGTCTCTATGGGTTCAAAACTTTCTCCCTGAGAACTTTAAATGCCCCTTTCTTGACCTTAAATATATGTCCAGTATAACAGGCTCTGATCACCAACCATCACCACTTTACCCTCATTCCTCTCTACTCAACGCTCTCTCTTCACTTCACCATTTCTCTCACTCTTAACAACCCATCACTTCTCATATATTTTCCAGGTCAACCTTGCAAGTAGATAGCAATTGTAATGTCTCCGACTGCTTTCCATATATGTACCCCTACAGTTGCATGTAAAAA